TGGAGCCACTTGGATGCATCCCTCGTAAACGCACAGCGTACATACAGGAGCGCGAGTAGCAGTAGTAGATCGAGCCAGTAGCGCGGCAGACAATAATCGAGCGCCACTCGCGAATCCTATACTCCGGCACCGCAACGCCTCTCCCTCCCCTTCCGTTGACACTGCTCACCCCCTTTAAGAGAAGGGGAGAGCGCAGCGCACCTTTTCACGCGATCCAGTCACCTGCTACCGCCGCTGCAACGACGGCGGGGAGAAAAGCTATACAAGGGAGAAGGCGAATAAAGTGCGGCAAGTGGGCTGATGTTTGAAATTGCATTCCCGGAGCGCAGGAGAATTATTAGGCTACGTTGGGCGTGACGCGATGCGCTCCCATCTCTCGCTCTCTATCCCGGGACGGCGAGATCGATCTTTGCGTGGACGCTCTGTCTGTTGAAACTTGTTTTTCATTGTAACGTGAAGTCACGGTGGAAATAAAAGGACCGCGTGCAGCTCGAGGGGTACGCGGCTCATTCGATGAAATTTCTTACGTGCAAGTGGGTAATTACAAATTGAGTCTACCTACTTCGTAATATACAGCCCCTCCCCCCGGGCCAATGGAGTGCGCTCTCCCGCGTCGTCGTCGGTGAATCCTTTCAAATTAGATTCCCCTTTCTCCCATGCACGGCGCGCGACGTCATCCACCCACGTATATACGCCCACACTTGCCATTCCCTCCCCTTTCCCTTCGTTCACCTCGAATTTCAAAAGGTTCCCCGAGAGCTCGACAAAAGGCCTTTGTCACGATAGTTGCCTCAAACTGATTTCGTGTTTTCCCCCCCATCGCCACCACCGCCCGCTGCCGCCGTCATCTGCTCCTCCTCCTACTTTTATGGTTTTCAAGTCATTTTGTGCTTTTAGCTCGTGCATTGTGCAGCTTTATTCAATAATGCCCCCTTCTCGCTCTGTACTGCTTTATGTACCGGGTCCACATATAGGCCACGTATGAAAAGTGTCTTGTTCGTGGTCTAAAAGGTATACAGGTATATATCATACCTTTTTTTCTCTATTTATCGTACATTACGTTATACATTGTGGGTACATGTATGAAAAAAGAGGGTTTTTTTTTTTTTTTTTTTTTTCTTNTTTTTTTTTTTTTTTTTTTTTTTTTTTTTTTTTTTTTTTTTTTTGGAAAATTGATATAAATATAAAACCAACAATGACGGCGAAAAGAAAAGAAAAAAAAGATTTAAAAAATAGGATAAATTGTGTACGGTTTAAGTGCTCTCCTGATGGAATTAAAACGCTTTTTCTCTCGTGATGCTCAGGGGGTTGGCGATATTTCATTTCCGAATTTCAAGAATAATATGTCTCGCGGGAGTTGCCTTTTTTTTGTGTACTATAATACATGAAAAAAAAAAAGGTAATTTAAAATCTCTCTTGCTGAGGAATAAATTTTATTACTCTGGGAGCTCATCTGAAGGGTAATGAAAAACCAATCCGTATACATTGACCTGTGCTTGTAATATTGTCGGAATATCAAAATGTTACACAAAATTGAAAAATCCTCAATGTCAAGTAGATGGTAATTAAATAAACAAATACAACAGAAAAAAATTAATAGTATCCGTTGCACAGCTCGTTATCCTCGTCCGTCCCCGGGTAAACAAGTTGCGAATAATATTATTCCACGCGAGGCTAACTCGAAAAAGAAACGTGAACCTGGGACAGCTCCGGCGAAAAAAAGAGACGGAAGAAATGAGGTGCGCACGCACACGGACGAAGAAAAAAAAGCATGGGTAGAAATACTGAGGGTGCAAAAGCATCGCCGGATGCGCCTGCACCACTGCGGGCCGAGACTGAAACATTCAAGAAGAAGAAGGAGCTCGCTCGCGCGCCAGGCTCATCCGATACTTTGCAATGCTAACGTGATCTCCGGTGCAGCACCTACACCACTCCGGGGAGGAAAAATTCAATTTATATTTATTTTTCGCTCCTGCACTCCCTGTCGCCTGTCTATAAAAATAAAGGAGGGCGCGCGAGGATCCTGTGATCCAAGGATCGCGATGCGTCGTCGCGCGGAAAGCCGGTTTGATTCCTCCGAGGGAAAATGAAACGAGCGATCGTTCTGGGATTACCATTGCACCCCGTCGTTTTTGGAAAGTCGCCAAATCCACGTGGGGCGCGATAAAACGAGTAAATGGAAAAATTAAAACAAAATTTATATTCGAAACACTCGTGCGCGCGAATAATTATTAACGAAAAGAGGAAAAAAAAAGAAGAAAAATAGTTTCTCGCGTCGTTTCGTTCATTAAAACTTCATTATTTTGTCGTCAACGTCAACAGAAGGTGGGGCGCACGAGGGCCCTTTTCCCGCGCTCCACCCCGTTTTTACGATTCGCGATTTTTATTTTTAATTAACTCCATCCACCCTCGGGCGCTCGAGTGACTCCGGTAGCTTTTCCGCGTTTTTTCCATCCCCGGCCGCGTGCAAGTGTCCGGAAAACGTAGAAATGCATAAAATGAAATTTGAAAAAAAAAAAAAAAAAAAAAAAAAAAAAAAAAAAAGAAGAGAGAGCAGAGAGAGGAGGGAAAAGGGCGATGAAACGAAATAGTGAGAGCGAAGAAAACGGGAAACATATATACGTGTGTGTGTGCATGTGCTACAACGCGTGGAATGCGAATTTCATTTAGTCGAGCTGTCAGGGCCGCGCGCCGATTCGATTAAAAATGAAAAGAAATGGACGGACGGATACGCACGCGAGTGCAGTGATGCGAGGGTATTGATGAAAGCTGATCGCGCTTTTCGTTTTTATTTTTTTAAATTCGCCAAACTACGGCCTCGTACCACCGGGGATGCGTTCTGTTTTCGAAGTATTTGACGGGCTTTGCCCGTTTTTTGTTTTTTCGGGGCCCGTGAAAAATAAAAGTATTGTTTTAGCGTCCGGATTAATATCGCAAGGCGATTTTCTGCTCGTGACGTTTGGCGTGGAGCACCGGGCTTCGACGAACTTTTACACAGGACTCACGAATTTCGGGTTTTCAGTTTTCAACCACGAGTTTGAATTTCGCTTTACAGTCACGTTTAAAAAAAAAAAAAAAAAAATCCATCGATTCTCCCGAGAGTGACGTATAAGAAACTACGGTCGACGAACCGAGCCTGCAGCTCGCGAAAATATTTACTCCGAAACAACGCGCTCCGCTCAAAAGTTGGGCTCGGAGTTGCGAGCGATTTGGCCCGATTCTAATTCCAGTTTAATTTTTCGTCGCACTTGGAGCGCACGTGGGAGACGAACTTGCGTGTGTGCGCGTTTAGCCATATACGAGCTTCATGGAGCGCAAAAAGCCGCTGTTGGGAAAATTGCCGGAGGAAATATTTGAGCTGCGGCGGAAAGTTTGTTCCCGCCTGTCGAGGCTCTTCTCTCTGCTACGGCAAACGCTGCGATTGGGGGTTGACGCAGTGTGTGTCAGAGTGTACCGTTTCGCGGTCTGTAGAGACGTGTCTGTCGGCTAGTCGATTTTCGTTGGGTATCGGGGATCCACTGGGTTATTTTTTAGCGTTTTTAATTAAATCGCAGTGGGTGGACTCGGACGATGGAGAGGAAAACGTTGCGAGTGCAGTAGAGTCGTTCCGCTCATTTAACCAGTCGTCGCGGGAAATTTAAAAATCTCGTGCATCTCCTGTTTTTAAAAGCAGAATACTAATGAACGGGCTCTCGGAATTATTCGTGCGGTAATTATTAATTTACAGTAGCACTCGTGCCCTCGCATTGAATCACGGTTGCTCTTTCGAAACTCCCCGACCATGTAAAAACTCACGTAGCGTCTTGTGCGTTTTTCGACTGCTCGAACAAAAAAAAAAAAAAAAAGGGATAGCAATTGGTGCGGCTGAATTAATGAAAAAATGCTGTGTTTTTCACGAGAGAAGATAGAGCAATTTACTCCATAAAAAATAATAAATGCCTACTCAAACGATACTCATTTTACACTGCGACGCGATCCTGTTAAGGATTTGGGAAACAAAGTCTCAAAAATGTTGCGAATCACGTGCGCGAACAAAAAAAAAAAGAAACTGGACACCGATAGAAAGAGCATCGTCAAAAGCTTTCATCAGCGATTCCCAGTTGGTGAAAAGCAAAAGAGGGGAGACAGGGAGAGAGCTCAGTTACCCACCGCTCAAGAGATAATTAAAGTCGGCGCGGTAACCGAGCTTTACAATAGCTGTTGCTGCGGTCGAGCTTCGCCCTCGCAATTCACCCCTCGTACAAACGCGTCTCGAATTCCACGCCTCTAGACCCCGAAGCCCCGCTAATTTACATTTTAGATTGATCCCTTGTCGTGACGCACCCTCCCCCCTAAACTTTCATTTTTACCACTCGGTAGGGGGGAAATTGTCACACCTGCAATGTCGCGGAAAAAAAGCGTCTTTTTAAAACCTGCCGATAAGAGTCAAGTAGCCGCTCATGCAAGCCTCGTCATTTATCCCAAGCGGAATTGTTTCGTCGCTCTCGCGCGCTCGATTACTCTTTCCCCTAGCCCCATCAAACCCGAAAGTCGAGGTGGGCGAGATTTTACGGCGCTCGGAGGATGCTCGGGAATCCATCAGGGCTTCAAGACCCCTTACCGAGCGAGGAGAGCCTCGGCACTTATACCGGGAAAGGCGATAAAATAAAAAGACCATCAGAGAGAAACAAAAGGAGTCGAGGCGCCGAGGAATGGGAGTTTTATGCGGAGTTGGCCTATAGCCGTACGTTCTCTCTCTCTCTCTCTCTCTCTCTGTTGTGGAGTAAAAAGGGCAAGGGGTTATATATACGGTAATCAGACTTACTTTTGCTTTGTGCCCCGCTGAAATTGAGTAACGCGAGCTTTAGTACCCATCATGCGGGATGTAGCTTATTATCTCGACAAAGATTTCACCCGAGAGTATTTTATCGACTCAAAGAATGCAATAATAATAACTCATTGATGTGTGAAAAGGAGGAAAAGTTATGCTCACGTCAACGATTCGTTTTATGTTGTTACAGGTACAAAGTCGAGGTGGCCGGCAAGTCACTGCCGGTTCTCACGAATCTGGACAAGGGCCGCTACGGGGTCCTGATCTTCGAGAACCTGAACAAGTATCTGCAGATGGACAAGTGGAACCGCGAGCTCCTCGACAAGTACTGCAGGGAGTATTCGGTCGGCATCGTTGGCTTCACGCCACCCGTCGAGGAGAGCTTCGTCGGTGCCCAGCTCCGGGGATTCCCCCTCTTCATTCACACGAACCTCAGGCTCAAGGTACATTTTTATTAATTTTTTCCCGAAACCGAGACTCGACAAATTTCCTCCTCGGCAGCATCCATCTCCGGCAAATCCCCCGGACGAAGGGGGGGAAAAAGCATTTCAGACCCTGCAATCCCATCAAACTCGAGTTAGCCCGAGTTCCCTCTCGCGAGTGTAACTCTCCTTGGCTATCCAAACCATCCCATTTTTCATTTCTCGTTCAGCTTTTTCTCCTATTTTTCCTTTCTTTCTGTAAAATATCGCCCCCCCTCCATTTGAATCTCCAGGATGCTCAGCTGAACGCGGCGTCGCCGATCCTGCGGCTGACGAGGGCTGGGGAGACGGCCTGGGGTCCGCTGCCCGGCTACGACTGGACCATTTTTCAGGCGAACCACAGCACGTACGAGCCCCTCTCCTGGGCCCATCGGGATAACCTCGACTACTCGACCAACTCGAGGACTCCCCTCGCCACGGTCATGCAGGTGAGTCTCTCTCATCATTTTTTTGTTACTTTTTATACAACATTCGAGTATGGCTTTAAGTAATTGTAAATTAATCATCAGCGCGGGTTACACGAACGAGCGCCGAACTCGCCCCAATGATATATTCCAATTTTAGCGAGCTTATTACGTTCGTTAACTATCGTTTGCGATAATTTAATTTTACTCTTTAACGTAATTAAATGCGCATTAGCGTTGACTCGTAAACCTTTATTCAATGACAAAACGAGTACGAATTTAATTCCCTGTGCCCTTCGACATTCCGATAATTGTCCGAACAGCGAGTCTAATTGAAAGAGTAACAGTTTACCCGATTTTCGAGCCGGGGAAAAAAAAAAAAAAATTGGTCGTCGATGAAATTATCAAACTCCTGCCGTGTCGATCGAAATAAACCAGTGCTGAAAAAAATACAAAAAAAAACCCAGATGTAGAATCAAACGTTCGTTAGCGAGTCCGCGGGTGCAAAGTCATTTTCAATCATTGCCTCTCCGATACACGTGCTCGATTAGCGTGAAAAAGGCTCATCTCGTTATCCGCGCCGTTCAATTAGCGCTGGACAATTAAACGTTTGCCGCCGCGTCGAAAGGCCAATTACAAAAATCGTCGCGAAATTGACGCGCTCGCGGGAAAAAAACACACAAGCGCCAGGCTCACCTCTACTAGAATTTCAATCGTTGCTCTTTTTGTTCAACACCTGCAAATTCGTTTAGTTTTAAATCGAGTAATTGTACTGCGAGCAAAATGTTATTATTCCCTCTTCCGATATTGACAAGAGCCTCCGAATCGACGGGCATTATCAACTTTACGCCGGAAGCAGAGGAAAGCAGCGTCCATCAGGTCAGAGCGGAAGAGGGGTCTTTTTCTTCGGAAAGTCAAAAATGACAAGAAAATCTGTTGGTTTCAACACACTCGTATACGAGCGAAAAAAACAAAAAACAAAAGAAAAGCCAAGCTAACGAGGGAACATTAGCTTTGTCCTCGCGAGTCGGGAGTTTCTCCTTAAATACCCCTCGGTTCGCTCGACAAGGATGAAAAGCAAAGAAATGAAACTCCAGGGTGCCTCGTTACCTCGTGTCTTATTCACTCGGGCGTTTTATAGCACCTCACGCGTTGTAGCGGTGACGCCTTTTTTTTTCTTCCGCTCCTTCTCACCCCTGCTGCATGCACGTTTCCTCGGTGATGGAATGCCTATCTCCTTCTGGTCCCTCCTTTTTTCCCCCCCTACTCCCATACATCTAGTACCGCGCCAAAGTGTATACGTGTAAGAAAAAGGAGGAGAGAGTAGGTGTAGCGGAAACGTAATTCCGCGGGGGCATTCATCGTACTTCGCGCGCCGGCAGTTTGTTAGCCGATCATTTTTCTAGCCCGGAACAGCGCAGCTGCCACCACCACCACTGTGTGCTACATTTCCTCCTGCTCCTCTTCCACTCCCGTGTATACGCGGCTCTCTTTTCCCACCCTATTTTTCTTACTCCCCCGACGCGGCGCTTTTTCCTTTTGCCCTTCCTCCGTACCCGCCTACCTAGCTTCCTCTTTTTTCGACTGCAACTGCACGCTTGTTTGATCTGCCCTGTTTACGTCGCTTTTTGCGCCATTCTATTACGTGGATAGGTTTTGTCCTGCTGACACGTCCCGAGAGTTGCATTGGCTATTTCGTACTACAAATGACAAAAGGCCTGGCTTCTTTTTTTACTTTTCACGTAAAAACCGTCGTAATCGATCGATCGTTGGATCAGCCATTGAACCACTCGATGGAGAGCGCGAAACGAAAATACTGGAAAATCAATATTAGCGCGCAGTTCTTTGAAACGACCGTGTCCGTGCTTGGAAAAAAAATTGAAAATTATGTATACATGGCGAAGACGGGGTAGCAGCGAAGAACACCTCCGTGGATAGGAGAGATACGAAACGGGTCGCGAGAGATAAATGGCGCAAAGCGGACACACGGTGAGGTGTGGGCGCGTGTACGTGTATATACCGTGGGAAATGTGTGCGGAAGTAACGCACAGCTGGGGCAAGTTTGTACTCTTCGCCCAGTTCGCGGGCCCACGCGTTATTCGGGAAAATGAATGTGTACGCTGTGTGCTATACGGGGAAAAGAAGAGTAATACATTTTTGCGTCTTTGTTATTAAAAGTTTTGTTTTCGCCTCGTTGGCAAAGAGTAGCTTTTCATGCTTACATTTTGACTGTACACTGTTACAAACGAAGCAAGGAGGAGAGTAATCGATATCTGCACTCGACGAGCCATAGGTATAGTTTTTTTTTCCATGTCAAAGCTCTTTCATTTCTGTAAAAAAAAAAAATTAAAAAAAATCAGTAGTACGAATCAAGCTTTGGTCCGGCATTTCATGTATTGAACTATTCATAACGATTCTATACATACCATAAGTATACGTTTAAACTTCTCTAACGAGTCAAATCGCGGTGATCTGGTCAAACGCTCAATAAGTAGTGAAAGTCAAGCTTTGATGCGCCAACTTTTTTTTCCCCTGACTCACAGAGTAATCACCAACATTTTAAAGCTTCGTAAAATCGTTCGCCTCAAAATAAACTAACAATTCTCTGACTTCTTTATTAAGGCAGCCTTGATGGAAGGAAAAAAAAAATTTGCGAGCTTTTCAACTTGGCACTCTTCTTGTAAAAATACCACACCACTCTATCCAATCGAACCGAGCGCCGTTGTTTGTCACGTCTCTTTTCTCGCTCCCGCAAAGCAAACACAAAACGTAGCCCCCGTCTGTACGCGAAACTATGGATGGATGCGCGAATAGAAAAGGAAAGGGAGGAAAGAATATAATACCATAAAGAGGGTACGCACAAAGAGAAAAGCGAAGCGACAGGGGAGTATAAGAAATGGAGGCGCGTCGAAAAAACCTAAGAATCCGAGGTTCGCGGGAGCCGGGGGGGGGGGGCGAAGAAGAATGGGCAGCCGGGAGGCGAAACAATTCACGGCGCGATTTTTTTTTTCACCGGCGTCCGACTTTTCTCTTCCATACACACATACGGGCTCGCGCGCGGGCATTTACATCCGAGACGAATCCGAGAGCTGTCTGGAATTCGCGATTGCCAGATTCCAGCGGACCCTCTCGCGCGCCTTCGACTCCCGATCTTTTGTTTCGTTCCCTGCTGTCGCTTACCGGGAGGTATACGTACAATGGGGCGATCGTTGCGTGCACATCGGCTTCTTTGTTTCCTTGTCTTTTTGCGATCCTCGTGCCACCGTTGCGTTCGAGCTGAGAAAATATCGCGGAGTCGTGATGGAAATTTTTCGAAAAACTCGTGACCTACACTTTAACCGAAGTTAGGTGGAACGAGTAATGCCTCGGCATCGGCAAAAAGGTGGATGCTGGGGGGCCGCGGCTTCCCCGGTCTATTTTTGCGAGTAGCTTGCAACTACTTAAAATTCAAACTGCCACTTTGATCGAAGTTTTCATGAGCTTTATCAGGGTATAGCGTGGCGCCGACGACGACAGTGGCGCAATTTAACTTCTTACCGAGTGACTTATACGGTTGAGGGCGGGGGGGGGGGTATTATTGTGTTCCGCTATACTTTCCCGGTGATCATTAATGTATGAGGAGGACGTGGTGGATTAACAGTTATTGCGCTGTGCCGGATAATGAGGAACAATTTTGCGCGAAATTGTCCTTAACGAGGTCAGAAGTTGGTACTTTTAGGAGATAGAAAGTATAATGGTCGCATCCGACAATGGCTATTGCTTGTTTTTTCGTCTTTCTTTTTTTCTTTTCGAGAAAAGGTACACAGTCGAAAGATGCTGTCATCACTTTGTGAAAAATGTGTTCTTTCGTGCCTCAAAAGATACGCGAGTCGCAGAAGGATACACGCGTCACGAGCATAAAAATATACAAAGCTCACGAGACAAAGATGATATTTTTCTCAAAGGGCCAAGGGTCCCAGGAACGAAACTTTGCGTATCACAAGCAGTCCACACTGCGTATAGAGTGGCCACGTCATGGTATGTGTACGAGATGTATAAAACCAGAGTTTCGATAACGTAAGCGAAACGACGACGACGCCTGCGGGGGCACTCTCGCAAGGCAACATCGTTCCACGTCAAGCATATACAGAGTTCCAAGCAGCTCTGGAATAAGTTCATCGATTCCAAACGGTGAAGGTGTATTTCATGGAAAATAATTTAACAATGAAAAAACTCAAAACTCATGGACAATATCTCAAACAATTACAAACGGTTGGAAAAAAAGGAAGAATCACGTGCTTATCCCGTACCATGGCAGCAGATCGATTCTCATTATCGATAATGAATTTCAAAACTCTTCCCTTCCTTCGCGCTCTTTCAACCTTCCGATCACCCGCACCTCTGGTACTTCATCGAGAGTTGAGGAGGGGATAAATTACAAGCCCGCGAACACCTTTTCAGTCTTCGGAAATTCCCGGCAGCACTGACAGTTCATTTATTACATCCAGCAGCTCTTTCGCGCGCTCTGCCTCCCAGCCGAGAGGAGCCCACGGTGGAATCGCGTGATCGCCGGATTCAATTACGTTTTTACCCCTCCTTAGCTCCTCCGTGCGGGTGTGACGGTGAATCGAGCGGGCTCATTTGGGGCCGCGAGTCGAGTAGCTCCAGACAGGTGACCCGACGCCGCTCGTGTTTTCCTCCCACGCTCCGTGCAACGGTGAGATTTTACGGACGGGGCGCTAGAGTGTTGGCTTTGATTGGTTTTACAATATGAACAAGTACTACCTACGATCGGGCTGTTATCGGTGCGTTCGACCAAACTTGATTTTTACTACTTTAAGAGCCAGACAGGACGCAACACTGGAATGTTATCTGTGCGTCTGACCAAACTCGGTCTGTACTACTTATACAGCCAGACGAGACACAACATCGGGATGTTATCAGTGCGTCTGACCAAACTCGGTTCGTACTACTTAAATAGTCAGACGAGACGCAACATCGGAATGTTATCGGTGCGTCTGACCAAACTTGGTTCGTACTACTGAAAGAGTCAGACGAGGCAGTAAATATAGGTACGTAGGGTGCGCGACATCGGTGATTCCAAGACGGATTGCTTTTGTTCATCGACAAACGCACGAAGCCACGAAATCCTAGCAAAACCGTAGTGGTGTAGCGCGTACAGTATAGTAGTAGGTACGGGTTCGCTCTACTGTCACTCAAAGGCAGTGCACGGTAGCAGTGGTATTGCGCCGATAAGCCCATTAAGAATAGAAATGGACGGGACAGCTGCACCCTGCACTGCGCTCTGACAGCGACGACAGCACAGTGGGGTGGATTGGGGGAGGGGGGTGGAAGCTCAGCTGCAACGTTACCTCGTAGGATTAATTGAATCGAGGGACCAATCAGCCAAGGATTATGATTTTACGCGTGTGCATCGTGCATTATCAAGGATTCGTTTTGCCTTTACGACTGCCACAGCACAGGGTAGGGGGTAGGGGTTGATTGCTGCAGTATACATCCGAGAGTCACGCCGGCTGAAGTAGAGAGAGAGAGAGACAGACAGACGGAGGGAGGGAATAACGAGGAGACGCGCGTTTAATGGGTCGTAAGGCTCAGTCGAGCCAAATTGGCGCTGCTGTATATATACGTGTCTTGCGCCCGTACAATCAAACCATCGTATCTATATGTACGTGTACGTTGTGCCGGTGCTCGTGTACATTATGCGCGCGACGTAAGTTTACGAGAAGCTAACTTTGCCAAGGTTTACGCGGGGATACGCACGTATACGTACACACACCCGCGTCTTCCTGCTTTCTACTGTTGTTGTTGTTGTCATCTACCTAAGGGGTTTGTATAGCTGCCACTGTGCCGCTGATGAAGACTTTAGGTTGCCTCCCTTGTCATCGTCGCGGTTACGATACACCTACACACCCGTTTCCTTTGCACTTTACCTACCATTTACATGTGTAACAACGATTTGTTTGTTTATCGACAATAGGCTCGAGTGATTGCTCGTTACAGAGCAATTAAGAATCTGTCGTATTTTCACCACGATTACGGCAATTAGCAGGGCGATTGATATTACGAGGTGAATTTCCGACGATTGATCGATAATCCACTGTCTGGCAATAATATTCGACGCCGGGGGGATGAACAAACAGTGCACGGGAGAACAAATCGTTTGGATGTCAAACAGAGGAAAAAACACACACGCACCGGCAGGGACCAAAATGAATTTCTCTCCTCCGACGCGGGTGTAGTAGTATACATATACATAGCCGTATAACGCGGTGCAGTGAGGAGGAGGAGGAGGGCAATAACTCTCCGTGCTTGGTCCCTACGAGGAATCTTCCTTCCCGCAGCTCTTAAGAGATTGTTCATTTCCGCACCCAAGGATCCCCGGTTCTCTACGACCGACGCATTATCCTCGACTGCGGCGTGGCCCTACCGGAATCGAGGTCCTACGTCACGCCGATGAATTTCTCAGCTGTGGGTCATTTATTCGCGTAGTTGTTTGAGTGGTACCGAAGAATTTTTTTTTTTTTTTTTTTTTTCCACCAACAACCGATGATACTCTTATTTTTTAACAAAGCATTGAAACTTTTGAGTGGATTTCCGTTGATCGGAGAGCAAAAGTCAGAACCTCATTGATGCCGCAAGTGACGCTGTACTTTGTGCCATCGTGAATGCACATTGTTCGCAAACAAAGGCCAAACTTTTGCCAATCATGTACGTATACATACGTATCATCTACCGATGCGGCGTCATATTGTGTGGTAATGGTATTGATTAAATTCAATATGTACCACGCAAAATCCGTCAACCATTGACATCAGAGTGCAGCGCGTGTTTGATGAGCATTGTAACGGGAAATTGAATAGGAAGCTTCTGAAACGTTACACCGTAGCCACCGTTATTTTCAAAACTAGTATTAGTTTCGCGGAAATCCGATGAGACGATCCTACGAGACTTGCGATAGCCTACTTTGATCAGGCATACAATACCGAAACGTCGGGAAAATAAAATTGCGCCTCCCTCTGTAAAAGTAACTTCTTACAAGATACGCAGTGGTACTGTCGCAAAGCATTTGATGAATAAAAAAAAATTGATCTTTCATCAATTATTTCCCGAAAGCCGGTACCTGCTTAAACGTAAATTGTAGTAAATAAATTTGGTTGTTTGGCAAATGTTTTTGTTGAAATGTCTATTATAAGCTCCCATTGAATTATAATGTAGCATTACGAAATACCCGTGATGATAAAAAAAAAAAAAAAAAANAAAAAAAAAAAAAAAAAAAAAAAAAAAAAAAAAAAAAAAAAAAAAAAAAATGATCAACAGGACCATGGGCGGTACGACGGTATCCAGCGCGTCTTCTTCGGCGGGGGGCTCAAGTTCTGGCTGCACAAGCTCCTGTTGCTCGATTCCCTGTCCTACTTGTCGCACGGCCAGCTGAGCCTCAGCCTGAACCGTCAGATCCTCGTTGACGTGGACGACATATTCGTCGGCGAGAAGAGCACGCGGCTCAAGAGGGACGACGTCCTGGCGCTCCTAGCCACGCAGCAGAGGATACAGGCCCTCGTGCCCGGCTTCAAATTCAATTTGGGGTTTTCCGGCAAGTACTTCCATCACGGCACGACGGAAGAGAACTCGGGGGACGACATGCTCCTGGAGAACGTCGACAGGTCGGTGTGTCTTACATACTATTGAGCGTGTTGCCTGGCTCGTAGACATATACTTAGAAGTATCGACGCTTTGGTGAAAGACTTGATTAACTTGATTGAGTTTTTTTTTTTTTTCCAGGTTCACGTGGTTTTCTCACATGTGGAACCATCAACAGCCCCACTTGTACGAGAACGGGACGCACCTGCAGCAGGACATGGCGCTCAATCGGCAATTCGCCAAGGAGCACGGCATACCGACCAATAGCGGCTACAGCGTCAGTCCCCACCACTCGGGCGTCTACCCGGTGCACGAGGGCCTCTACGAGGCTTGGAAGAAAGTCTGGAACATCAAGGTGACGAGCACCGAAGAGTATCCCCACCTCAGGCCGGCTCGACTTAGGCGCGGCTTTGTGCACCGCGGCATAATGGTACGAAATTTTTATCGTCAACTATTTACACAATAACCAGCACGACTTTGCCAAAGTATACAAGTGGGGCTAATGCACCGGATTGTTTTACTTACACGTGTAGGTGTACATATTTGCATCGAATGATAACTTAAAACCATCCAGGTCTGCAGAGTGAGCGCAGCCTCTGAGAAAAATGTAATTTATTCCCCGTATATCCTACGAACGCATCTCGCGTGTAACACCGCAGCAAGACCGATCGCGAGATAAATACCAAGTAGGGGAGACAGATAGATACACGGGAATCCAAACAACTCATTTATGCGAGAAAAAAATATGAATCCGAGGTGACGTAACTTGAATCAAGAATTTACCGGGAGCACTTTACGCCAGCCCAATATCCACGATAGAGAGTATGGGTATTGTGGCACTGCAAGGGAGTATTAAAATTCACGTGTGATTGTTATTCGATGGAACAACGCTCTGGTATAGCACCAGAGCCGGCGTTGGAGTTTCCGTGAACTAAGGGTACATGTATACCTGTGAAACCAGAGAGAGAGAAATCCATAATGCATATTGTACGTGTGTGCATTAACGAGAGGGAGAGGAGGCAGTTGCAGGCCCCTGCTGACTAACTAACGCTGCAAATATGTACACTATACACAGAAGCGAGTAATTCTCAGAGCACGTGTGTACGTATATACCTGTGTGTGTGTGTGTGTGTGTGTGTATTGCACGAGTACCGTGGGTTTCAGGTACTGCCAAGGCAGACGTGCGGTCTGTTTACGCACACAATATTTATCGAGAGGTATCCCGGCGGCCGAGATAAGCTCGACGAGTCGATCCAGGGCGGCGAGCTCTTCCAGACTATCGTTTACAACCCGGTAAGTCCGTACTTCTGCACGACAATGCCCTCAAGCTGACTCGTTGTCCCTCGTTTGCCATTCGCTTTGTCTCCTGTGCCCTTGTGCTTCTCTCATACCCACGTTTCCCGAGATATGGTGACAAACGCGGTTTTAATTGGAATCGAGTGGTTATTTTCTTTCCTTTCGCAAATCGCATAGTTATAAACGTACGTAAAAACAAACAAACAAACAAACAAAAAACATGTAGTACCGGAAAAACTAATTCGTCGGAATAACGAAGGTTTCATTCGATTTTGCGCGCGTGGTCTTTTTTATCTTTCGATTGTTGTTTCGAATAAAAAAAAAAAAAAAAAAGTAGAAAGGATGGGGAGGGAAAGTGGAGAGTGCAAAGGAAAAAAAAAAAAAACGATTGTCACGCGTGTGTACGCGTTTGAAAGAGCCCGTGTTGTTTTTCGTTTCACGTTTGCTCCGTCGCGCGTTTCATAAACAAGAGGAGGAGAGCTCCGCCACTAAATTATCGAAAAATATCACGCTCGCGCGATCCGCTGAATTTAAAATCCATGGTAAAATACATTTTTCTTTTTCCCCCGCTCTCATCCTGTTTTCCGAGCTAATGGATCCCCACGTGAGGGGGATAAAAAAAAAACATCGTAAAACAGCGGGTCTAAACGTCAAATCGGTACGTTTTAAAATCATAAGCTCGGCGTCCCGTAAAATGGAAAAATAAAGTAGAGCGCGGTTCGCTTTTGCGTGGAATTTTCAATCGCCCCTCGGTGGAGACACGAGCACAAACGCTTCGCGGGATGAATCACCTTCGCGGGGGTACGTAATGACGACTATCGATTCCGCCTCCCTTTCACATGCTGCATATGTCCTTTCCAACGATTTCGCGTACCCCCGAAAAACTAGGTGAGCCATATCCCGAACACCTCTACTTTCCCTGTAACATATGAACACCCCTTCCCTTTCCCTCGTGTAGAGTAGAGTAATAATGTTGCGGAGCGGGGAGTAAAATAATGCAAGCATCCGTCCTCGTCGAAACAGATCAACATCTTCATGACACACATGTCGAACTACGGGAACGACCGTCTGGCCCTCTACACGTTCGAGTCGGTCATCAAGTTCATCCAGTGCTGGACGAACCTGCGGCTGTCGAGCGCTCCGCCCCTTCAGCTCGGCGAGAGGTACTTTCAGCTCTACCCGGAAGAGACGGATCCCGTCTGGGGCGTAAGTGTTTGTTGGCCCAAGCGGGCAAACATGTTTATTTTCTATTGTTAAATTCGATTGTCTCTCCTTTGCAGAACCCGTGCGACGATCAGCGCCACCAGAGGATCTGGTCGAAGAACAAGACCTGCGACCAGCTGCCGCGTTTCCTAGTGATCGGACCCCAAAAGACAGGCACGACGGCCCTGTACACCTTTCTGTCGCTCCACCCGGCCATAAGCAGTAACCTGCCCAGTCCCGATACCTTCGAGGAAATTCAGTTCTTCAACGGGAAGAATTACTACAAGGGCCTCGATTGGTACTCCCACGTTTATGCATACGTCGATCGTGGTGGCGTGCGTTGATGGGCGCTCGATTTTCACAAAAATGGATGGACTTTCAGGTACATGGGTTTCTTCCCGCCAGCGAGGAACGAGAGCTCGCGTTACCTCTTCGAAAAGTCAGCCACGTACTTTGACGGGGAGCTGGTGCCACGGCGGGCTCACGCGCTCTTGCCCAAAGCCAAGCTCATCACGATACTCCTGTCGCCGGCCCGACGAGCTTACTCTTGGTACCAGCACACCAAGGTCCATGGTGACGTCATCGCCAAGAATTACTCGTTTCACTCGGTCATCACCGCCACCGATACTGCGCCCAAGGCCCTCAGGGATCTTAGAAATAGGTGAGTGCAAGCAATTTATGTCTATTCATTTGCTGGGACGCGCGTCGACCTTGCATAAAAATATAGTCTGCGAGGATTTCCTGGCCAAGTATCCTTCTCGTAACTAAAATCTGGGAGGGCTGTACTTATAATATTTATAAAAAAAACTCTTTTATTTAGTTAATTAATAGTATATGCAACACGCAGTATGTTGCATACGCAGACAGGTAATAAAAAAAAATACGAGTTCATCGACATATAATTCGATTCATCCGTCGCAGGTGCCTCAATCCCGGTAAGTACGCCCAGCACTTGGAGCGCTGGCTGTCGTACTACCCGGCTCAGCAGTTGCACATAATAGACGGTGAACAGCTGCGGCAGAATCCAGTCGAGACTCTGCACGAGCTCCAGAGGTTTCTCAAAATCATGCCCACCTTCAACTACTCGACGCATCTGAGGTACGATCCGAAAAAGGGCTTCTTTTGCCAAGTGACGAACGAGGACCGTACCAAGTGTCTCGGCAAGAACAAGGGTCGACAGTATCCGCCGATGGAGGATCGGTCCTACAAATTTTTGCAGGTCAGTTTTTGGGAATACTTTCGTCAATACTAATAGCAGTGTAGTAGAAAAAAGGAGGACTTGGCTTGACAATGGTAATCCCGTTCCAACAGAGGTACTACCTGTCGCACAACACAGCGCTGGTGAAGCTGCTGAAACGGCTGGGCTCGAGAACGATACCGCAGTGGCTGAAGGACGACCTGACCGACACTGTGATGACTTAGCAGACGCTGCAGTTCGCGTGAAACAACGCCAGTGGCGAGACCGGCGGTGACTTCGAGGACAGTATGCTGCAGATCCTAGAGCTCGACGTCTCCATCGTGCCAGAACTCGAAAACGACGTGTAACATAAGTACGTGTATTCATACATTTGCGAAAGTATAGGACAATTTGTACATAAGGTGTAAAAGTCGTGTCCGATCGATGATTCCTAAGCTCGCTCTCCGAGTACGTTATACATTGTTTAAGTGTACAATATATTGTGTGTGTATGCGTGTATGCTAATACTGTACAATGGCACAAGCGAAAAATAGGCCTAAAGCGAGGCAGGCGTGTAAAAATATACATGAAAACGAAAAAAGCTAGTCACTAAGAGAGAGAGAGAGAGAGAGAGAGAGAGAGAGAGAGAGAGAGAGAGAGACGCAGCGTTCTGTTCGCAATAGTTTTTTATTTATTTATTTTATGCATGATGGAGTGTGAGAAGCGATTGCTGATGGTCCGAGTTGTGATGATTGACTGCGAATCGTTTAGTCGCGCGAACAGCAACGTCGACTGTTCAGCTGTGCCATCCCGAGTAGTCGATCTTGATATTTTTAATTAATTTTTTCTTGAAGACTAGAAATGATAATCGTATTATTTAACCTGGAGATTTTTTTCATCCAAACTTAGTCGGACCAGCATTTTTTTATATTTATTTTATTAAAATTTAAAAACATGATTTTTAAACAATCTTAAGTCGTTGGACCAAATTCTGTCATACAAAGCGTGTTTATACGTATGGTAAGAAACGTGTCAGTTGAATGTAAAATCAAAACGAACAAAGCAAATGTGTTTCATTGTTGTTGTATGGAATATTACATTAATTTCAAGTGTAGTCTTACGTTACATTACATTAAAATGTTTACTAACAAAGGCATAATTTTCTTATAAGTCTAGGAAAGCCTAATAATCGAATTATCATGTGAAACTTGGTTTGTTTGCATTATTTAATGGGCGTTAAATTAAAATAAAAATTATTAGATAATGCTTTGAAAAATATATAGCGAAGAATAACAGCTCTTTGCTTCATTTGCTTTACTTCCTAAAAGAAAAGTAAAAAACAAAGTAAATTGTTTAATTATGATTGCGTGTACAGATCATTGTATTTAAGATGACTAAAGAGTCTTTGTATATTTTGACAATACTGTTTGGGAAGTGAATGATGAGACATGGGGCGCATTGAATTGTAAATATTTGTAAAGATGCTGGCGTAACGGTAATATATATATGTGTGTGTGTGTGTGTGTGTGTGTGTATTACAAAAGCGAGAGTTACGATTCTACCGTTTTTGAGTAGTCGAAGAAGTTACTTTATTTTTTTTTATACAACTTTCAAAACTTTTTTGTATACATGTTTTAATTGTGACAATTATTTTTTCACTCACACCGAGTTTTTTATATATTTTTTTTATTAACAGTTCCTGCGAAATCGTAAAAGGTGTAAAATTAATATATAAAATCTGATACGGTTCTTCGATTTTAATAAATTGAAAGTTCTTCACTGCCTATTGTTTACAAACTATTTCAACATCAATTTTAGCTCGCTAGATGGCGCTGATCCAAAAAACTATTATACGTGCAAAATTTAATAATATAAAATAATACCCATGATCGAGCGCAATAAATGTACGCGAAAATTCATTTGCAATATGATATACACTTAATCAATGAGAATTTTCGAGTTAAGACGAAAATTCAGAAGGCAGTGTTTTCTTAACGGCACAAAACTCGTAATTCCTTACTACTAACTAGTCGTCATTAAAAAAATTAATAGATAAATGGATAAAGATAATATTTTCTTACTGCTCTGAATGTAAACTTGCCATACGGCATTCATGCAGCTATATAACAGTTAGATAATCAAAAGCATGAGCGTAATCTTATCACTGAAGGAAACAAAAAATAATAACAATCTCATATCAGGCCGATTTTTGTGGCGTTGCAGTTCTTATGAATTTACAAAATTTTTCACTAGCAATACTTTTGTGTCCCATTGTATTTGTAAGATTTTTTTAATCAACTAAATTACGTTAGATCGTCGAATAAGGCGTTAATTGTGTAAAATACTTGCGCTTACATGAACACTCTACTTTCATTTTCCATTTAGTATAGATTAGATTGTTTTTTAAGAAATAATTTATACTAAAAAATTAGGCTATTATGTTGACACTGATTAATTTGATTTATAAATTATCTATAGAGCCGTGCAAGTCTTTGTACTTAAAATTGTTTGACGTGATACGATTTAATATCAGTTTCAACCGATTTAGATAATAACGTAATGTTTTCAACCAATGGTTCACACGTGCACTAATTGATTTTTTTATAACTTTGCTTAGAAAATTTCAGAATCTTTGCTGAGATATTTTTGTGTTTCCTCTATAAGAAACATACCGGATTCGAGATTACCCTGAAACTTGGCACAATGAAAAAATTTCTTTCAATAATTTATGTGATTAATGACAATTAAGCATATCAATAAAGTTTTTTGAACGAACGTATGGTTTTCACGCCACGAACAAATGGAAAAATAACGAGTTAATCGAATCAAGCAAGAAATTTGTCGTAATCAGCATTAATATTGTTGCCTGTAAGCACGAATATTCGAGGGCTCTTGTTGCATCGTTGATTGTAAAAAGAAGTCATTCTGCAAACAATAAAACGGCACGCTCATGCCTTAATGCCATAGCTTGATCAAACAGATCTGTTCAGTTGGTCGAAAGAGTAAAAAAGCTTTTAAATCAAACTGATATGCCAAGCACCACTGTGAACTTTTTTTTTTACGGGTGCTTTGTTGTGCGCACATTTACCGGATCCTTATGACCGGTCAAACAAAGGCAATAAGGTGATAACGTTTGAAATAAGAAAAAATAAATAAATTAAAAAATCAGACTCGTACAACGTGCCATAACTTGAATGTTGCATATACATAGAAAATCAATGAGAAAGTTCTCATTTTTTGTTTTTACGTTTGTACATTTGTTTTCCTTTTTGATACTGTCGTTTATGCCACTTGGCGGATTAACGAATCTTGTACAAAGTTAATTGTTAATACAAATAATAAATACGATGATAAAAAATTAACGACTATTAGACTTGCTTTTTCCTTTCAATTGGATCCTCATATTCATACATTTTATCAAAATTTGATCATCACTTTATGCAAAGTTAATAATCACATGAAACATCATAAGACTGGAAAATATAGCCTTACTAAATATTATGTCTTTTAAAACATTAACGAAGAATTATTTATACGTGCGGATGTTCAAGTACTTTTACATAAACTAATTTCGTACCCTCAAATAAATGCATCAAATATCTTTTTTTTTGTCTATTTGTGTTCAACTGACACACTTGAGTTGATAAATTTTGGATTATTTTATCTTACAATTTTTGTAAAAATTCACTTTCTTTTTTTCTATTATCAATAAATATAAGCCCCATCATTAAAAAAAGAATTCTAATAGGGTTGTAGTAATAATGTAAAATATGAGCTTCATTAATCATTTTAGTATATAAATAAGAGATTTGTTTATTTACAAAATACACATAGTAGAAAAAATAATACTTGATACAATGTACATTGTAGGAAAAATTGACTTAATGTTGCCTACTATAATTTATTTTTTCTAGTTGCACAAGTGGTTTCAACTGCTCAGCAAAGTTTTTAATTTCCTCTGCAATGGCATTTTGACCACTAGGAGCTAATACACTTAGTTCTACCAAATAGCTTTGAGATATAGCCTCGACATCCGCTTTTCCTTGGTTCATTTTTAAAATCTTGGACACTGTCACTTTCATCCTTCCTTTAAGAAACATAAATCCNGTAAAATATCTGTACTTTGGAGGATGATTTTCAGATAAAAGATAAATTGTGTACTTGCCGCAAATAATACAAGAAGCTTTAACTTTTTATTTTATGGGAACAGAATTATTTGCGGCTGGTTTATAATCAATTACATGGCTCAACTGTAAGTATAATAGTTATTTGGATCAGCGCCATCTAGCGTTGCGGATTTCTGAATCAAAAAGTGGCCCTAAACTTTTCAGCCAGAGCTTTAGCGCTTAGAGCCATTTAGTCAATTATAAACCAGCCGCAACTAATATGAGAGATATAAAATGAAAAAATAACCGTACATGTGTTTTTGGCGGCAAGTTAACAATCTATCTTTCACTCGAAAATTGACCTCATATGCATTTATACTTTTGAAGATGAATTTTTGAGTAAAAAATAGATTGTTAACTTGCCGCCAAAAACACATGTACAGTTATTTTTTCATTTTATATCTTTCATATTAGTTGCGGCTGGTTTATAATTGACTAAATGGCTTTAAGCGCTAAAGCTCTGGCTGAAAAGTTTAGGGCCACTTTTTGATTCAGAAATCCGCAACGCTAGATGGCGCTGATCCAAAAAACTATTATACTTACAGTAGAGCCATGTAATTGATTATAAACCAGCCGCAAATAATTTTGTTCATATAAAATAAAAATTTGAAGCTGTTTGTATTATTTGCGGCAAGTTTATATACTGATTGTTAAATATTTAATTTTGTTACACCACATAATAGTGTATGGACATATTAATTCATATACTTGAGCTTATGTTTATTTTTTACTTCACTTATTATTTATTATTGTAGTGTTTGTAGCCTATACTACATATATACATATGCGTCGTGGGGGAGAAGGTACTGCAGAAGTCACTATAGAATGGGCAGAGAGTGTAGAGACGTCGCGCGTCTGCATGGCTTAACTTAACCTAACTTGTTAGTTTACATCAAGACATAGTGTAAAAATATTGTTTACATGACGACTGTTAAATATAAGAGAGTAATTTTTTGATGATCACGAATTTATAAATATTATTTTAAATCGAGTTCAATTACCAAAGGGTAAGTTATTAATTAATAACAATGATTTGAGCCATATACTTTAAATTTCATTAGGATCACAACTGTTGTATTTTGTCTTAGAAATCATGGATGCTCCGAGTTCAGCAATGGACAGCCTAAGTGTTGCCTTAAAATCAAAAATCATTCCCAATCAGGAGTACTTCTTGCAAGGCTCTGTGTTGGACAGTGCTGTTGAGACGCTGCTTCACAGGCTACGTGGGCTCTGTGACAACATAGATACAGGACCAGAGCAGTTCAATGATCATGAGATGTGTTTTAGCATTAGAAAAGGACCTCCACCTGAAGTTCCTCTAAGTCTGAGAGTACGGCGTGCTTTGGATATGATTGATATGCCTTGGCAGCTCAGGTACATAGGTCAGCCAGAACTAGGTGACAAATCTCAGCCTACCATGGTCCGAAGCAGCTTAGACGTTGCTACTTCTAATACAGTTGTAGAGTTCCTAACTGGTATGGGCTTCAATTTGGACTTCGAGTACATTATAAGAGGATTTATGTTTCTTAAAGGAAGGATGAAAGTGACAGTGTCCAAGATTTTAAAAATGAACCAAGGAAAAGCGGATGTCGAGGCTATATCTCAAAGCTATTTGGTAGAACTAAGTGTATTAGCTCCTAGTGGTCAAAATGCCATTGCAGAGGAAATTAAAAACTTTGCTGAGCAGTTGAAACCACTTGTGCAACTAGAAAAAATAAATTATAGTAGGCAACATTAAGTCAATTTTTCCTACAATGTACATTGTATCAAGTATTATTTTTTCTACTATGTGTATTTTGTAAATAAACAAATCTCTTATTTATATACTAAAATGATTAATGAAGCTCATATTTTACATTATTACTACAACCCTATTGGAATACTTTTTTTTAAGGGGATGAGGATAAATGAAACAATGTCAGAAATGGTTAAATATAAAAATTATGTATGAGTTTATTTCCGTAAAAACAGTCGCGAAAAATTTATTTACATGAACGTGATCAGATTTGCAGTAATATTTTGTGAATAATCATATCACGCCCCACTTTTCTTCAAATGCTGAGCATAATTTAGTGCATGTTATAGCTGCAGAAAGAGGGTAATTACTAATTGAATATGAGTCCTCTATGTAGTCAGCTTTGACCTACAACAGAAAATTAAAAATTAGATAAATCGGTAAGCCACTTACTCAGCTTAGAGACTTTTTTTAATAGAAACAAATTATCTTACTTGACCACGAGCCATTGCACCAATAACCACAGCAATAGGTTCTTCATCAGTTGGTACAAGATCTCTTGGATGTACCACAGCCTTTGCACTAAATGACATGCCAATTTTCTTACATCCAACTGGCAAATGATCTGTTACTGGATTCTTGATAACTTTTAACAACTTTAAAGATGACTCGGAAGCTTTTACACTGTACTTGTGTAAAAGTTGCACTAAAATTTATTAAAATTTTCTTTCATATGGTTGACCGAGATGTAACAACACGACTGTGATTAGCAACTGCTAAAACTTACCCATTAATCCCGCAAAACGCTTAAAAGTCCTTGGTATCCTCGTCTGTGGATTTATTTCAATCAATACATTTTTCTCTGTGTGAATATAAACTTGCAAAAGACCTGCTCTATTCAAGGGACTGTCCATGAGCATGAGGAGGCACTGATGCGTAATGTCAGGTCGACTGCTACCTGGTTCCCTGTTACTTTTCTTCAGCAATTGTACATGGTCGTCGCAATTCAGTAACTCAAAGGTATTTCCAACCTTCACGGTGTTAAATAAAAATTTGTATAAATAAGCCGAGAAACACTTGTGAGATAATTTTATGGGAAAAAACAACCAAGACAGATAATAACCTCACCTTAACCGACTCGATTTGCGCGTTCTCCAGGATAACAATTAGTCGCTTTTCTTGCTTTGCAATGTGACCAGTTTGCAAGTGTTTTGGAGTCGGATCATATTCCGTTTCGTCGTCATTGTCGAATTTTCTTTTTCTCGCTCCTCGACCCATTTCAAAAAATAAACGCTGTGTCTATTCGCACCAAATCCACGTAATTACGTGGATATATGGTTAGGAATTTTAAAGAAAAACGCTACTTATGTGTACAGAATTATTTGCGGCTGGTTTAATTGATTAAATTGCTCTACTGTAAGTAGTAGTAACTATTTGGATCAGCGCCATCTAGCGTTGCGGATTTCTGAACTAAAAAGTGGCCCTAAACTTTTCAGCCAGAGCTTTAGCGCTTAGAGCCATTTAATCACTTATAAACCAGCCGCAACTCATTTCGTAGCTATAAAATAAAAAAATAACAATACATGTGTTTTTGGCGGCAAGTTAACAATTTATCTTTTACTCAAAAATTCATCTTCAAAAGTATAAATGCATATGAGGTCAATTTTTGGTAGAAAATAGATTGTTAACTTGCCGCCAAAAACACATGTACGGTTATTTTTTCATTTTATATCTCTCATATTAGTTGCGGCTGGTTTATAATTGACTAAATGGCTCTAAGCGCTAAAGCTCTGGCTGAAAAGTTTAGGGCCACTTTTTGATTCAGAAATCCGCAACGCTAGATGGCGCTGATCCAAATAACTATTATACTTACAGTTGAGCCATGTAATTGATTATAAACCAGCCGCAAATAATTCTGTTCCCATAAAATAAAAAGTTAAAGCTTCTTGTATTATTTGCGGCAAGTACACAATTTATCTTTTATCTGAAAATCATCCTCCAAAGTACAGATATTTTACTTGTATTGTTTAATAAAATCGACCATATCGCACTACTTATAAGTAAATAGTGATTACTATCAACTATAATTACTACACATAACTTCATGTATATCTTACACCCTGCTCTCTTTACCAGAATGATTAAATCAGAGGCTGTGTTCCGCAAATACTGCCAGCAGTTAAGTTACCTACGTAACCTAACTGCTGGTAGCATTTGCGGAATACATGCAGCCCGAATCTTACTGTACTAGGTAAGTGTACCTATCTCCGTGCTCTGCCCTATTACCGTGGATTTTGAAAAACTGATGATTACTTGCTCAAAATAAGAAATGTTTCATATAAAATAATTTTTCAATTTTAATAATCTAAAATGACGTTAATGTAGATGCAATTCAAACAGAAATATTTGTGTATATTTTGAGTAAATAATTATTTTCCACGGTATTTGGTACAACGCGCTCATTAACTGATTGTGTACGTATTTCCGCGGTGAGCGTACGTAAACATAACCCTATACATCCGCGGTAATACGTACACGGTAATAGGTACACAACCACGGTAATACCAGCATACCGTTTTTATTCGTTTTAAAAATATTCTACTGCAGTTTTAGCTTCATAAAATTTTTTTTAATATTCCGTAAGAGATTATGTAAGATTTAAAAAAAAAAGTATTCCAAAAAATTTTAGTATACCATTTTTTATGGTGCATTTAAGTTGGAATTTTCAGTACGTGCCACGGAGATAGGTACACTTACCCCTATATGGTACTATTAAGTATTTAGTCTAATATGTCTAATGTAATAATCTCCGTTGCCGAAGAGTAAGGATTTAAAGTATGAGGAGGAGGGAGTTTATGTGCATACGGTTTCGGTATTCGCTTATTCGCGACCTGACGGCTGACGCACCCACGCCCCGCCGAGCATGGACCGTCCTTGTTATTGGATTATCTCCTTTATTTTGGAGCAACTTCAAATAAAAACATATTTTGCTGATACAAGTACATGCGTAGACAGACAGAACGACAGAAGAGCGCAGAAGAGACACCAATTCAAATTACACATGCACTGCACTTGGATACGTATATGTCCACACACCCGCGCATCAGGCGGGGCGCGGGCGACCAAGTGCGCGCGCGTTCGGGTGCAGAGCATGCCGTCAGAGCACGGGAGCTCCGGCAGCCAGTCGCACCGAGGCGGCCCGACGCGCTCGCGAACAAATGTCGTCGTATTGTCTTCGCTACTGATGCCGCCTCATAAGCGTAGTATAACGTCTGTCCCTGTCGTCTATGTGACCATGAGTTCCTCGTGAAAGTTCAATAAACCCACGTGCAAGCTGGACATCATAATATATGTATATTAATTGTATAGAGTGTCGTTAGTCTCTCTCTTTTCGCCACGTCCTCCCATATCCTGTTTTGAGGCTGCACGGGTGCACACTGTTTTACCAAAGTGTGTTTCATTTTGGAGTCCTACAGTATAGCTATACCTGCCCGTACACCTACTAACATCTACGACGTATAACATTGTACAATTGCAAAGTAAGGGATAACAAGTACTTATTTATTGTACAATTGTAACGGGCAGCAGCTGCAGCATCGCGGAGTGTGTGTGTTGGTAAACAAAAGCAGAAGAAAAAGGAGCAAGAGAGAGAGAGAGAGAGAGATGGCAAGTGCCGGCGCGTCCTGCTGCAGCCGAGCTGCCACGAGCCTGTTGTTTAGGCTCGAGCTCCTGTCGTCCTCGTCCTTCGCTGGGAACGGCAGCTGCGCCGGCTGGGCCACCAGCGTCGTGCTCAAGCCTCATTCTCGACTGAGGGCCGGACAGCCGACGACGGCCTTCTCCTGCAGGAGCTTCGGGAGCCTCGCCGGGAACGTAAGTTGCATGTACTTTTTTATTCGTTCCCGCAATTTTCGGAGCAATCCTCTCTATTGTCATCCATATGGCGTTGACTGAGGGCTCTCTCGTCAAGGAATGATAGCTGAACAGCTGATCGGGCCTACCCGAGAATTACAATCACAGGGTTTTTAGATACTATAGAAAAAAAAACTTCAGATGTATCTCTTGCAGGACTTGTATGAATGTCACAAGGCTATAAGAGATTAAACATCGTCGATTATACCTAAGTGCAGAAGGATGTTATTTGTTTTTGTTAAATACATTTGATTTGGTGGTCCGACACGGACGTACTTACTCAAATGTGTGCTCTGTCTCCTTAGTAAGTATTTTAAGATTGTAGAGCTAAGGCAGTACTTATGAATCATGGATAGAAAATAGATAAATGCGTAAGTCGTGTTTTGGCCGCTATCTCTTGGTCAACATATCACTTTAGGATTACAATTGTCACCGTAGGGATAGTTGTAAGATCTTTTTAAAAATAACAAATATTTGTAGATTTGGGGTGCACTCCTATATCTATATCAAGAATCTATTGCTTATCCATGGATTTTGTATAGGTACCTACCAAATAGATGTTATTGTCTCAAAAGGAGAGAGATGGACAAAAAGATTTAGCTTACACTGCAGGTATACTTATTTTAAAATCATGTGGTTTCTTTTCCAAAAGAATTCATTGCCCAGCAGGGACGGTCTTTGTTAAGAATTTTATTGTCTGGTAGCTGTAGATTGTTCTTCAATTAAGAAAAATGAAAAATTTGTTGGTGAAACATAGATAAACATTAATAAAAAAAGCCGTTTCCTATTAAGCGCGCTAATAAAAAGCCGCGTAAATAATGAGGTCATCGATTGAAAAAAAAAAAAAAAAAAAAAAAGTTTCTCTTAGAGGTAGAGGTTTTTAAAATTTTAATTTTTAGTTGGCTGACTTTTCAAGTTTAAAGTGTACCTTCGTTAATTTGCATCGCCTCGAATCTTTGTAGCTTCTTTTTTTCCAAGGGACACTCGGGTGTATACTTCAACGTATTTTTTTTTCTTTCATACTCATTTATGGACCTCAAGTACATACGGATAAAATAAAAAATCGATACAATATCTTTCATAAATCGAAATGAATTTGCATTTTTTTCTCTTTGGCGATTATTAAAATTTTTACAAACATTGAATACCTGGACAAATTAAAATCCTCGAATAAAAAAAAAGTAATCCATTCGCACTCCATTATCGGCATTAAATGCCCAGAAAAATCTCGGCATTAACTGTACCATTAGACAGAGTTGAAGTAAAAAAAAAAAGGTATGTAAAATACAACCCAGTATGTAATTACGAGCGCGATAATGAGTCCCAGATAACGCGAGCTTAGAGTATTCGAGCGCAAATGAACTACACAACGGCAATTTTTAAATGAGAGAGAAAGAGAGAGAGAGAGAGACCGACGTGGTTTATTGATACCAATGCACTATTATTTGATGATTCGCGCATACGCCGGCTGACTAGCTATATTTATGCATTACGTTGACGATGATGAAGGCCTGCCTCTTTTTGTCCATTTTTCTCGTTCCGTAGACTCACTCTGGCGGATTACGCGGAAGATTAACTGCTGGCTCGCGGGTGCCAATAGAGAACCTCCGGCGGACATTACTTTCTGAAACGATGTCGGACAAATTTATTTATTTATTTATCTATGAGCTCAGTCTGGGTCTTTTTCTCTATACCACATTTGTGAAGCGATTTATGTCGAGCATTAGCTATGCGAACGAATATATTGCGTGGAAAAACCTGTCCAAGTATTGGTCCGATGTTTGATGATATTTTTGTTCGCTGACGATGCTTTACAAGTCTAATGTTAGTGCACACGCAATTTTTCAGAGAACCGAAATTTTTTAATTCAACCACGTCGGTTGAGGTCCAGAGCAAGATCTCGAAAGAAACGCGATTCAGGCTGCATTTAAAAGGGCTTAAATTGAAACTGTGAGCCAAAAAAAGGGAAAAAGGAGCCACGCTTACCCGGAAATAATACGAAAACGCGAAAACGTTGAGAGAAAAACACAACAATCCAACTCTGAACTCCGGTTGTAAGTAGTTTACCGAGGAAACGTCGAGGCACGTCCACTTTTCCCGCCTTGGCGATTTGTCCGCCCCGAGTTTTAAAAATAAAGCTCGGCTCCCCCGAGCGGGTGGCAAAGAGCCGGACACAAACTATTCGCCTGCATCTTCTCTTTCTCACTCTTCGCCTCTACTCCTCCTTCTTTCGAAGAACGGATGCCGGGGGTCTAATTTAAAACTGCGCTCGAGAGAGAGAGAGATTCCCGGCGCTCAACATTTGCAAGCTGCGCAGGTGAGCTTGAAAAAGAATCAAATTACGAACAACAGCCGGAATGGAAGTTTCAAAGGTGCTAGAATAAATAAAAATGGAGGAGAACTAAGTGTCATCTCAAACGAGATCAATAAGCGCGAACGGGGGATACTTATACAACGGACATGAAATTTCCATACTCCACGCCTCGGCTACGTGAGCGTGTATATTTTTACTGGTTTTTTTTTACGCGGAGCTTTCTTCTTCTTTCATTGCCTCCTCCGTTTGAGGGAACATTAAGCGCTATCTTACACGGAGATGATCATTACTCGACGATGGAAAAATTGCTGGTCGAGCTGAGAATAATAAATAGACGGGAATCGAGAGAGTATGGCTGTTTTTATAATGGTGCAAGGCACATGTGCGATTATTACAAAATGTGTGTATATCACGCCCACTCGAAGATGTTGATGATTAATGGTACAAAACTTAAAGTATATCATTTGTCCCAAATGAAAGTTATAAGTAGTAGAAACTTATCGATTCACTAAGTTTGTTTATTTATTTATTTATTTAATATAAAAAATCATTTTAGTAGTTTTAATATATTGAAACATTCAATATTACTATATGTAGTATCAATGTTTTAAAACTATAGGTCAATAATAGTCGTTTAATATTTCATAGATAGCTATTACTTTAATACTGATAAGTTTCTTCGAGGAGATACTATCGAATTGTATATCATTAAAAAGGCTTGCCTAGTGCCGCAATACTCATATGTTAAATTCGACACTCGATCTATGATTTGATTTACACCAAAGATCGCGTGTGTATAAACTACAGTTAAAATCGTAATTTAAAATACATTCATTAACGTCATTTAAGATTGTAAAGAATGAAAATTTTTAATATTTTTCGTGTATTCCAATCCGATTAAAATTTCTTTGATATTTTAATTAAAATTTTATCTTGGCAAGTTAAAAAATGTCAGCTTCTCCTTTTTACATTCTATTGTTCAAAAACAAAATGCTTGGTGAATATTAGGAAATTAATCACTTCCAAACTAGGTATAAATATTTTTTATTCTTTTAATCTCCGCGTTACAATACAATTCGGAAATAATCGAAGCCTGCTGAAACAACTTAATCAAGATAAGTAAACCAGGCACTCGGTCAAACGTACCATGAATACAATCTAGAAGATATTGGTAAATATACGTGGCCTCAAAAAGATATACTTGTTTAGCTTTTACATTGTTCTCGACACTGGAGTAGTGATAGTGTATCATAAAAAATTATTGCCCAATCAATGACATCTTCACAGTAAATATATATGATGGCACTAAAATACAAGCAAACTATAACCAAATTCCCATTTTTTTTTGCTACCACCCAACGTTCGAGCCACATGCATATAACGTACAGAATTTTTGTTTCTCTATATGAAAGGAGGGACAGCTGTTACTTACATTATACGTACAGGTGTGCATAATATTTGGGATCGTCTAGCTTTCCTTATTTCACTCTTGGACTTTATTTTTAAGTTCAACTTGTAAAATGTATATAAAAATACACGAATTTAATGTTTAATGAATTCTTAACCGTAGTGCATTTTCAAATTGAAAATTTGTACATTGCACTTCAGTTTCAAGTGAGTTTTACTCGTGTAGGTGTAAATTTCGATGGTACACAAAGAAACTTAGACTTGGAAAGTTTCTGCAATCGATTGAATAAAATGTGCTCACCTGTTACGAATTTGCGAACGAAATAATTGAATTGTCGTCGTTGCACGTTGCGCATATGTTTAAACTGCCGAGGAGAAAGAAGAAAACTTGTTCACGAGAAAAGATGGCTCATTCAATTTGGCAAAAGTTAGCGTCCGACAGTTTACGTGAGGCAGAGAGACGTTCCCCTTCGGTCTACAGTTACGGTGTGTGAGTTATTGTCGCAGTTTTTGAAATACGGATAGTATGCTCTCGTTCAGGTTATTTATCGGTCTGAGTTATTACATTTTTCAAGAATTAAAAAAAAAGACCATCACCGTAAATGAAAGCCAGACGTAGCTCTATATATTTATAAATGCCTTTCTGAAAAGTCGCGCGTGCAAAAATGTATTCATGTGCCCCCGAATGCCTGCGTTTTAACTCGTATTATCTTAACTAATTTAAATCCTGTTGGGCAATCTAGAACAACGTTAACTAAGATGTTTAATTGCTCGCAAGTGCGCGTGCGATTATTTTCTGAAGATAAATCGATCTATAGTCTATACAGCCTCATTGCCAAGAGTAAATTAATTAAAGGACAATGTGATCGGAATTGATTTCTCATTGCAACTCGATGTACTCACAAAATAACAAATGGATCGAGTTACACATATACAGCAGTCTAGACGTTTTATTAGCAGAATTCTATAATTACCATTAAGCTTAGATTTTGGTTGAAAAAAAAAAAAAAAAAAAACTTATCGACGATGACACACGTATTAGCCAAGTTAACCTACTGTCTCGAACATAATATAATAATCAACCATTTGCACAATCGTCTTATTGCATCTCCAAATAAGCTTCGACATTATTCACGCTGGACTCGCCAAAATTTCGAGTATCACGCAACTGATTGTATCCGAAAAGTAATCAAAGCCATATACTTCCGCACGACGCGGCACGCGTCAGATTCCTCGAAGC